TTTATAAAAAATAAAAGTTTAAAACTTTTTAAATTTTAATTGGAGGAAAAATTTAAAAGTTACTTTTAGAAATAGAAAAAAGTGAATAAGAAGTGAATAAAAAAAATTTATAAAAAATAAAAGTTTGAAACTTTTTAAAATTTACTGTTTAATATCTTTTTAAAGTTAAAAAGAAGTTAAAAATGTAAGTCTTTTGCACCTGACCCTTCAGGCCAACTGGCAGTCTGTTAGCTTGAGGTGCATTCCCCCTCCCCCATTGAAGCCCGCCCCTTGACAACTTATTCAAAAAAAAATGTAAGTTTTTAAGAGAAAATTTTAAATTTATGAAACATAAATAGTATCAAAAAATTGAAACACTTACAATTTTCACCAAACATGCTCTTAATTTGAAACTTGGATTATTGTCAGAAAATGTTAAATTCCTTCGTTATATTGTTTGAAAGTGTGAAATTCTGACATTAAGATTTGGATGTGGTTTAATTTTAGATTCGTATAAATAATTAGATTGCAAGATTCTAGTGGTAATAATTTTTGGTTTGGACATTCAAATATCCCAAAATAAATTGAACCATAATTATAACACATATTCTTTAATTTATTAATTAATTATAGAGAAAACAAGAGAAATTACATAATATTTTAATTCCATTGATACTCTTGACGTTATTGCCCTTATTAACTATGGGTTAGGAGAAATACCAATAACTTGTAGGTTTAATATATATATTTAAATAGTTAATGAGGTTCAAACTTCCAATCAACTTTATTCGAGTACTTACTTGAAGATAAAACGTTAGATTTAAACGGTCATTTTGTTAGCATATCCATAATAACTAGAAATGATAATTTCAAGGTACGGTTGTGGATAGGTCCATGCATCCCTCCCTTGGGATTCAGTCGCAGGGTAATTTATATCCATTAGCAAAGTAAGAGTTAAACTCTTCAAAGCTACGGATTATATGAAATTCATCTAGTTAAAAAGAAAAAACTAAATTTTCTTTAAAATAAAACCAAAAAAATGTAGCTAATAAAAACTGATTTCTGCACTGGTGTATCTCTTTACTTTGAAATTTAAACAACTTCTCAATTCCACGAGCATCTAGCTGGAAATTTTCAACGCTAATTTAAGACCTAAATCATTAAATGCGATATCTGAATATCAATCCAAAGGAATTAGAAAATAACAGATCAAATTAGAAAGCTTGCCTGGTTATGCGAACACCCAAAAGTCTTGATATATATAGTCTGTAACA